TTGCTCAATATATGTATTTCAGGGTTCGGTGAATAAGTTTGTTGGAAAACATCCGCTCGGCGACCGAGCTCGCAAAATAGATCAGGGAATCCTCATTGTCAGGTTTGCTTCACGATTTCCGATAAGGAGGATCTATCTTACGTACTTTTCTGATAAATTCAAAGTAATACCAACGAAATCCCGGAACGAACTTTATAAAAATTCTAAATAAGATTTGAACTGCCTTTCAATATTTGGTGTGAAGGTTGCGGGAATCATGTTGGCAAAGGTACCGTCGGTCGTTTCACTTTGCGATGCGCGCGTGCTCAACGAATGATTAATATGTACCTCTATGAATTGTACTTAGGTGTTCGCTACAATGCTGAAAAGAAAAAGATAGGGAATTATTACAGTACACCGATATTTAGTTTTCGGATGAAATGTCATCTGTGTGATAATTGGATTGAAATACACACGGATCCAAAGGTCAGCAACAGTCATTGACTTTAATCATACTTGCCGAATCGATCGTTTCGGGTTATGCGAATAACGCGGTCCGTTTTTTTTACATAGAATGCGGAATACTTGGTGGTTGCCGGCGCTCGCAGGAAGGTCGAGACATGGGAGCCCGAGGACAACGAGACTATTGAGCTTAAAGGTTTTTTTATTATTTCAGCGGTATTGGGTTGTCGTGCACTTCATCTTATAATTAAACTGTGATAAATTTAGATGAAGAAGAGGCAAAGAAATTGGCTGATAATGCCTTCTACAAGCTTGAACAGTCTGTTAAAGATGAACAGAAGGCAAAAGAATCTCTTCCCATTCTAACACAACTTCAGGTAATATATATATATATATATTCGGGTTTAAAATACTTTTTACTTTATCATACGTGACGACTAATTATATATCTCAAAATAAGAGACTAAATGATAGGCAATGGGCAGACCCATATACGCACTCCCAGAGAATGCGAAAGAAATTTAGAGTGAGGGTTTTTTGGGAGATTTCTTTTTTTGTTGATTCCATCGTTTCGCTTCCGACGCACCAAATCTCAATACCGAGTATTAACATAAATTACACAATTTTAGGAAGAGAAAAAGATATTGGAAGCTAAGAGACGTGCGGATGAAGAAATCCGAAATCGAAACGCGTTGTCAATTACATTATTACCCGAATCGCAAGAGGACGAGGTTGAAGCCAAAGCCACAGAATTTGCGGGTGAATTTTTTATTTGGAAAACAATTCTCGAGGGAAATAACCACCACATTGAGTGGATGATAATTAAACATCATCATTTGCATTTAGATCATCTCATACGAGCTCAGAAACGAAAGCTTGAGGTCAACACCTCGTCGATATTTAACAAATCATCAAGATCCAAAAGATCAATTTTTAACTCCAACGATCCTAAAAACAAGATCGCCCAATTATCCACGATGATCTCGGTGAACACAAAACTTAAAACAGACCCTTTTCTTAAAGACAATGATTGGAATGGTGATAATGCCGGAAAAGGTGGTGGTGAAGTTAACAAAGAATTGGTTCTCATCAAGAAGAAAGATGATGCAAAGAAAGTTGAAAATAACAAAACTAACAAATCAAAAGCGCAAGAAGCGTCAAACGTAAATCCCAATGAAAATACCAATTCAAGTGAAGGTAGAGAGATATCAGATAAAACTTTCTAGACTTCAGATTTCCCGTGAATCATTTTTCGCTCAAACGACCATCTCATTCTCATTAATTTGTAGTCACTATTTCTTTGGTCAGCGCAGATTATGATGAGGATGATTAAAATCTCGTCTCGAGAGTATTTATTGAACGTGTATATTGTTGAATGAGCTTCAGTTAAATATGAAATTAATCCTCGCATTGAGTTTGTGCGACGACGCAATAATGATTCTCATTAAGACATGTGCACACTTAACACATTCTCCTACCAATGAGTCGGGAAATGTCTAGGCAGGAGGTGGACCAGGTTTATAAAAAGGTTTTCCGGCCTTGTGACTAAGTTTTAAGAAGAATAAAAAAAGTTCATGTAGTTAATATAAGACAAAATAGGATTTAAGAAAAATGCAAGTTACAAATGACGTACAATTGCCACCAAGCACCTAGATTAGAGCAAATGTTTAGTATATATATATATTATATATTATTATTATTTTTTTTTTTTTGATCTGATTAAAAAACAAAGTTCTCTCCTTACCAATGAAGGGGACGGCAAACCCGAAACCTAAAAACGTAGTCATTTTTACGGCGAGTCCAACTCTACTTTTGGTACTAAATGGAAGATGCTGTGTCGATGTTTTTTAAAAAGGAATGTCAGAATACGTGCGAATTGAATAGTTTGGTAAATTGTCTTAGCCTCTCACCGAGCCATCAACGTTTTCCCAGTGATAAACATCACTGCGAGTTGGGCGAGTCACGGCACGAGCGCGTAGAGCTGAACGAGAAAAAACAGAGGAATACATTGGTCTAACTAATTCAAAAAAACGATCGAATCGAATTCGAAAAATTATTGTCAATGTCACACGGTGGGCACGTGAAATTCACAATGAGAAAGGTTTAATTTTGACGCGTAGAAATGAATGCTTTTGCTTTCAGTCATGAGCGTTCATTTTCTCTTTCCCAAGCCATCTTCTAGCGAAGAAAAAAAGGATTCCGATGGCGATATTGACATGCTCTTAAAATCTCAAAGGGAAAACTTTGAGAAACATGTGGTCATACCGGGAGAAGGGATTACCCATGACACAAAATATATGGGGTAAGGTCAAATAACAACGTCCATTCATGCCTTGATGAATCTCACCTTTCGGAAACCTTTTTTCGTAGGGGCCATGGAACCTACTTTGATCACGAAACTCATTTCTCATCTGTAGCTGGTGTCGTGGAGAGAGTGAACAATCTGATCTCTGTGCGGTCTCTACACGCGAGGTATATGAAAACTTTATCAAAGGGAAATTTACAAAGCTAAGGAATATTTGTTGACCAGGTATACTGGGAATATTGGGGATTTGGTGATTGGTCGGATAACCGAGGTATGTTGGTATTCGTTGTCCAACTGTTTTTCGTTTTGATATTTGTTAACCTGAAATCATTTCAGGTATCAAACAAACGATGGAAAGTTGACATAAATTCTCGTCAAGATGCAGTGTTGCTGTTATCTGCCATTAATCTTCCCGGAGGAGTTCAGGTGGGTGAGTGATTTCTGTCCGCACGTACATAAGGACACTAGTCAACTGACCACCTGCATTCAATGAAATGTAGAGACGTAAGACCGAAGCTGATGAACTTCAGATGAGAAAATTTTTCATCGAAGGGGATCTATTGGCGGTATTTCATTCCACTCCTGAGCACACACATTTTTACACATTTTTATTATCGGATCATATGAATTTTTTACTATCGAATGCAGGCAGAGGTTCAAGGAACATTTCAGGATGGTTCGTCATCCTTACACACGCGAAATCTGAAATATGGCAAAGTATATAACGCAAAAGTTATTGTAAAGACGTGATCTACGAGTGTTGACAAAGATTTTCTTTTAGCTTCGTAATGGATCATTCCTCGCTGTCCCACCGGCACTCATCCAACGTTCCAAGACGCATTTTCACACATTATCATGCGGAGTTGATGTCACTTTGGGATTGAATGGATATGTGTGGGTCGGCAAACATTCTTCTAAACCTTTGGAGGAGGTGGATCCCGAATCGATATATTCCAATGAAAACGAGGTTGGCTTCTCGAATCTACGTCTCATTACTAAACGAACTTCACCTTTTCACTAATCATCATCACTTTTTAAAGCCGATCGATCAGGCCACTCGGGAAACAATTGCTCGCGTATGTAATTGTATAAATGCGTTGAGTAGAAACTTCATGAACATCACCGATACGGTTATAAACTATGCATACGAGGCCTCACTCAAGTATCCTGTCAAAGAAGTTTTGAAATCGGAGGCAATGGAGTTCATTGTCAACCAAGTCAAGTCAAGTTAAACCTTTTTAAGAAAGATAATTATTTAATTGTATGCAATATACTCTGTGTATACTCGTAAGCCGAATTTGTCAAATTTATTTTGCAAACATTTTGATTTAATGAAAATTGGTTATATGAATGTTTTTTGCTTTACAATAAACAAGTGCAACATATCAATCATTAAACCATGTGACATTCAGTCAAAAAATTTCGCATTAATACATATATCGTAAATGCATACCATAAGTGCACTCCGATATTGGAAATCGATAGTAAAAAAAAAAATGCCATTTATTCATTTGATGATTTCTCAATAAAAACATTACACTCAAAGAAGTCTAAGTTGTCAGGATGTCGCTGAATACAAATTTCCTTCAAGTACTTCAAGGTTGCATTTCTGTTGTACCATTTGTGACATAAAAATAACGCGCCTTCCATAAACGCGACTCACCTTTTCGCGAACATGACGTTTTATTATTAATATAGAGAATCAGCTTGCAAGTCTTGCAATTGCCACTCTCGCGGTCGTCGGTGCCTCTGTCGTATCTTTAAAGACTTTGAGCTTTGTAAAGTTGTTATTTGACGTCTATGTGCGACCTGGAAAAAGCGTAAGCATACGTTTTTCCATTCATTTACAAATTTTTACCTGCAACCTCGTCAATTCGTCTCTCACCAGCACAAATTTTCCAGTTGAAGAGTTTCGGAGCTGGAACGGGCGCCTGGGCAGGTAGAAATTCTCATCTATTTATTAATTGGTAGTTATGGGTTATGAATAGTGGGCTTACTGTGGTCGTAATTTTTTCAAAATAGTCATTACCGGCGCATCCGACGGTATCGGGAAGGAGTTTGCCCTGCAACTAGCGGCTGCTAAATTTAACATTCTCTTGGTGTCTCGAACGTTGTCAAAATTACAAGAACTGGGAGAAGAAATTGGTTGGTTTGTTTGTTTTCCGAATCAAACTATTTTCATCGTTAGATTTACGTATATGCAACCGATTTTACATGAAATAGAGAAGAAATATCACGTCGAATCAAAAGTGTTTGCCATGGATTTCACCAAGAGCGACCCCCAAGATTACGAAAATTTAAAGAATATAATTGACCAACTTGATGTTGGGGTATTGGTGAACAATGTTGCCACAAATCACGATATTCCAACACCATTCATTCTTGAAACCGACGAACTGATTCGTAATATTATTGAGGTCAATATCTTTGGACTTTTGAAGGTTACGAAGATTGTGTTGCCGAGAATGCTGCCCAGGTATACCATCTTCATCTTTAACTCACAAATCAATTGCTTCACGCGCCTGAATGGCTACCAATTTCCGTTTGGAACACAGCAATAGAGGCCTGATCATTAACGTTGGTTCTTTTGCTGGAATGATCGCTACACCATATTTATCGTTATATTCGGGTTCCAAGGCGTTCATGAACACGTGGTCACAAGCATTGGGTGCGGAGCTCAAGTCAAAAGGAATTTTA